CAATGAGAACACATGGACACAGGGAGGGGAGCACTACACACTGGGGTCAGTTGGGGGGAAATAGGTGAGGGACGGTGAGGGGTGGGGAGCTGGGGAGAGATAGCAAGGGGAGAGATGCCAGATGTAGGTGATGGGGAGGAAGGTAGCAAATCACACTGCCACGTGTGTACCTATGCAACAATCTTGCATGTTCTTCACATGTACCCCAAAACCTAAAATGCAATAAAATAAATGGGGGAAATAAAAAGACGTTAAGGCACTGAAATCCAAGGAAAAATCAAACAAACAGGTGTAACAGAGAAGCCAAGTCTAATTATGAGACAAGTAATCACAGATTTGAGATTTGATATTGGGTAGCCCCCCCCCCACAAATCTTACTGAGACCCGGCAAGGAGATGGTCATTAGCTTCAGTTATTAGAAATCAAGATTATATGAAACATAGCAGTGGTTTCAGCTGGTTTCAGGTCAGGCACTAGTTTTGCTTAGAAAAGTGGTCTCATAAATATATGTCTTAAAATGCTTCTAAGCTGAAGTAAAACACAAGGCTAGGTTTCTCAACTCAGCCCTATTGATCTATAATCTATAATCATTATATTGATCTATAATCAAGGAGATTTTGTAGTTGTTGGCTATATGTTGCAGAGTGTGTAGTGGCATTCTTGACCACCATCCACTAGATACCAGTGGGAAACCCTCTTGTGACAGCCAAAAATCCCTCTAAACATTGCCAAATGTTCCCTGGAGAGCAAAACCACCCACTGAGAACCAGTATCCTAATGTAGAGGTGGAGAAGAAGCAACACATGGTTACAGATACGGGAGAAAGTCCAGAGGCTGCTTTCTTTGCCAAACCTCTCACACTGACATTAGACACAGCTGACTTCACTCTGGCGCCCTGAACCAAACAGCTCTCTCCTCATTACCTCACCATCATTCCAGCACTAAGATTTGAGTGTTTTCATTTCACTGGCTCTCTCATCAGCTTATTTTAAGGTATGATACATTCCTGGTAACTTTTTCCTGGCAACCAAACTTAGGTAGAAAGACTTCAAGTAACTTGCCCAAGTTCATGCAGCTAACAATTACAAAGTTGGGGTTCAACTGTTTCCCAAACTTCAGTATGTAGAGGAAACAATTAGAAGTCATCTGAATTTGGCTGCTCACTATCTATATAATTTTCATTCTATCTGTCCAACACCATGGATAGGCCAAGTGGACCAGGAATCCTCCCTGGAAACCCAGAGATCTCTAAGGTTTCCCTGGTTCTCCCAAATTACAGGAGCCCCAGTTATATCAGAAACATGGGTCTCATCATTATTCTAATGACGAGATAACAGCACAGGATAAAAAACTGAAAACCCTCAAATTGGTTTATAGAAAAAGAAAATACTTTGAGCACAGTTTATGTGACTAGAAACACAGTAATTTTTTCTTAACTGAGTAATTAGAAACGGGCAGCCCTGCCTGTTGGTTTATAATCAGGGAGAATTTAAAAAAAAAAAAAAAAAAAAAAAAAAAAAAAAAAAAAAAGAAAAAGAAAAAAAAAAAAAAAAAAAAAAAAAAAAAAAAAAAAAAAAAAAAAAGCTTTTTACACAGCAGTGTTTTAGAAAGTACTCTTACCACTTTAAATCACCATCCTCTGATGATTCTTTTAACACAGCAGTGTTTTAGAAAGATTCTTATCACTTTAAATCACCATCCTCTGAAGATTCTTATTCATACCTGGGTTGAGTCCAGAAGAATTCCAAAAGAAAAGAGGAAGGACCTGCCTAAGAGCACAGAGATCTTCATTGCTCCAGACTCCAAGACACAACCCAGGAAACAGGAAATGGCAAGGAGCTGGGGTTCCTTGAGTGCCTATAAACCGTTGGCCACATCCAGCTGTCTGCAATTACCCTCTGCGTGGGTAGCCCAGGGAAACCCCTTAGCATCCTCTCAGTGCATGATCCATCAGCTGGCAGTAGCTGCATCACTTCACCTGGGCCATAGGCAACCTGGGAGGTTGTTAGATGCAAAATCTCAGGTTTCACTCTAGACCTACAGGATCAATCACAAACTGCATTTCAACAAGATTACCAAGTTGTCCACATGCATATTAAAATTGAGAAGCATTTCTCTTAGCATAGCCTGGGTCACCTCACTACTGACTTTTTAAAAATTATTTTAAAATTAGAAATCATGATGTAAATAAAGTTGCTAATTCTATTATACATCTCTGGGTATATGGATGTTTCTTGGTGAAGTCCTACATGCCTGTATGATACTTAAATTATAAGGAACAAGAGCTCTAGGATTTAACAAGCATCAGGCGACTGACACAGGTAACACACTTGTGATTTCATCTCACCATCATTCTCGCATTGTGGTTCAGTTTTAAATTTCCTGAACTACAAATGAGATTGAGCACCTTCTCTAACATTTACTGACCATATGGATACCCTCTCTTGTGAAATTATTTTCCAAATTTTCTATTTCATCTGTATTTTTAAAGTTAATTTGTAAGAGTCCTTTATATATCCTGAATATGAATCTTCTGGTTTATGTGTATTGTGAATATTTTCTACCACCCTGTACTGTGATGGTTAATTCTATATGTCAATTTGATTGGGCCATAAAGTGCACAGATCTTTGGTTTAACGTTATTCTGGGTGTGTCTATAAGGGAGTTTTTCAGTGAGATTAACATTCAAATGGGTAGACTGAGTAAGGCAAACTGCCTTCCCCAATGTGGGTTAGACTCATTTAACCTGTTGAAGGCCTGAATAGAATAAAAAGGTTGAGAGATGGAGCATTCACTCTCTCTGCCAGAGTGTCTTCAGCTGGAACATTGGTCTTCTCCTTTTCTGGACTTGAACTTAGACTAGAAATTACACCGTCAGCTCTGCTGGTTCTTAGGCCTTTTGACTTGGACTGGAACCATACCCTTGGCTCTTCTCAATCCCCAGCTTGCTGACTGCAAATCTGAGGCACTGAGAATCACATGAGCCGATTCCTTATTGCATGTGTGTGTGTAGACGTGTGTGTGTGTATGCATATCTCACATATACATGGTATGTTATACATACACATACATACATCTCATATTGATTCTATTTCTCTAGAGAACCGAAATAATACAGTAATCTTGTTAATTTCCTCATGGTGTATTTATTTAATGATAATAAACAGGATAATTAAATATTAACATGGTCTAACAAATCCATTTTTTCCTTTAGAGTTTGTGCATTTTATGACTCTTTTAATATCTTTATTGATCCGAAATCCATGACAATTTTTTCCAATATTGTCTTCTAAAAACTGTATCATTTTGTTCATCATATTGAGGTTTTAAATATACTTGGAAATGATTTTTGAGAATAGAAAAGCATATTTGACCATATGGATAGCCAGCTGGGGATTGAAATCATTTATTTATTTAAAAGCCTATCTTTATCCACAGTTCTGCAGTCTGTCTTTTGTAAGTCAAGGTGTGTATGCCTATTTCCAGAGTCTCTATTTTATTCTTATTTATTTATTCCTGTATCAATACCAATATATCTTGTTTACCATAGATTTATCTTGGTTTTGGTACAGTAAGTCCTCCTACTTTTTCTTTTTCAGTATTCTGAATTTTTTGACCAATTATGTAAATTTTAAGACCAGTGTTTTAGCAAAAAAAAAAAAAACTGGTGTTCAACAGAATGAGAAGGCAAGACATACACTGTTAGAAAATATTTGCAAAAGACATATCTAATAAAAGACTTGTTTTGCAGTGGGCATATCTAAGAAAACCTACCCCAAAATCCAAGGAAGCTGAGGGGCAGAAGAAAGTGGTTGACAAATCCAGTTTCTTTGAAAGAATCATTTAATAGGGTCATAGAAACCATGTAGCCATGTCTGTGCCTCGGTGGCAACAAGACCAGATGGTGGATCTTGCCTTTTCCCCCAGACCCAGAGGAGTACACCATAGGGATAGAGGGATGGGCAGTTGGGGGCACTCACAGTATTTGTGGTGTCTCCTGGGTCCTGCAGGAGCAGTCTGCTTCCTTCAGAGGGTCTGTGGGTTCTCGTGGGGTTGCTGGTTTGTTCTTGCAGTCGATCCGGGGCTAAAATTCACAATACAAGCCTCTGCACCACTGCTCTGCCTGTCCAAGTAGGAGCTACAATCTAGTCCTGCCTCCCGTCTGCCATGATCTCCAAGAACAGCCCAAAATATACATTACTTTTTAACTATAGTCACTATGCTGTGCAATAGATCTCAAATCCTCATTTCTCCTAACTGAATAACATCTCTCCATCTCTCCCTCTTATCCACCCTCCAGCTTCTGGTAATGACCATTCAATGTTCCACTTGTAGGAGTGACTATTTTAGATAAAACGTATAAGTGAGATCATACAGTATTCGCCTTTTTTTGTCTGCTTATTTCACTTCGGATGTTATCCAGGTTCATCCATGTTGTCACCAATGACAGAATTTCCTTTTAAGGCTGAATAATATTCCATTGCACATATGCACCATATTTTTCTTTATCCATTCATCCATTGATGGACACTTAGGTTGATTCCATTGTCTTGGATGTTGTAAATCCCACTGCAATGAATATGAGAATGCAGGTATCTCATCACCATACTGATTTCAATTCTTTTAGATATATATCCAGAAATGAATGGCTGAATCATATGGTAGTTCAGCTTTTAGCTTTTTGAGAAGCATCCATAGTGGTTTTTATAATGGCTGTCTTAACTTACATTTCCACCAATAGGAAAGCAAGGGTTCCCTTTTCTCCACATTCTTGCCAGAATTTGTGAATTTTTGTCTTTTTTATAATGGCTATAAATTCTAATATCTAATTGTGATTTTAATGTGCATTTCTCTGATGTTTAGTAATGCTGAGTATTTTTTTCATATTCCTTTTGGCCATTCGTACATTTTCTTTTGAGAAATGTCTATTCAGGTCTTTTCACCATTTTTTGACTATTTGTTTTCTTGTTATTGAGTTTGATTTCTAATAAGACTGAGCTTTTTCAATGGTTATCAGTCATCTATGTGGATCATTTATATCATTTTATTATTTTTCTATTCAATGTTTATTCTTTTTACATAGATATAAGTTTATAATCTGGATATTAAGCTTTTAAAATTATACTTAGTGATGGTTTTCTGTCATTAATCTTCAAAATTTGTGTTATAAAAGTGTAAAGATATATTTTCTCAATGATTCCTGGATATTGATTCTTGCTTGGAAAATATTATCTAGGCCGGGCTCGGTGGTTCACACCTGTAATCCCAGTACTTTGGGAGGCCGAGACGGGTGGTTACAAGGTCAGGAGTTCGAGACCAGCCTGACCAAAATGGTGAAACACTGTCTCTACTTAAAAAAAAAATACAAAAATTAGCGGGGCGTGGTGGTGTGCACATTTAATCCCAGCTACTCAGGAGGCTGAGGCAGGAAAATCACTTGAACCCAGGATGCAGAGGTTGCAGTGAGCCAAGATTGCACCACTTCACTCCTGCCTGGGGGACAGAGCAAGGAAATAAAGAAAAGAAAATATCATCTATATCAGTTTATAACATTATCTTATAATGTTATAAATATTTATGTAATATTAAATATACATTATATACTATATATAATGTATATCATTTATAATTATTCTGGCTTTCAAAATATATTCACCTCTTAATATTATTTTTGTGCAGAGTGTAGAGATGTACCTAAAAGTGTAGTCCACATGTCTTATAAAATAATCCATACTTTCTTTCATCATAAATTAATCATACATCTATGTATAGGTCAATTTCTAAAACATGTTTCAGCAGCACCATTTCTATTCTGGAAAAACTATATATTAATACAGTTTTAGTTTATGTTCTTATAATTAGGTGAATAATTACTAAAAGTTTTATTTTATTTTTACTACTAAAATTTCTCTAATACAGAGAAACAGTAAAATATAATTATTAAAAGCAAAAGTTCTGAAGCTATGCCTAGCAGTAATATGATCTAGGAAATGTTACTTAACCTCTATGTGCCCCAGTTATTTGCTCTGTAGAGAATAAAATAGTCAATGTACTATACAGGATTGCTGGGCTGTGTGGATTAAAGCGTTGATTAATGTGATTGATGGGTTAATTACTTGGAGCATGTCCTTGCAATGAAAAATTGTTTTTCTCACTTGAATCTGTTACTACACTGAGGTACATTAATAGAATAACTGTTAATATTACTTTGAGTTTGTTTTGGATAATCTTTTAAGATGCTGCATTAAGTTTCCTAATTACATATTTCTGAATCTCTTTCTATATTCTTATATGCATATATTTAAATATAGGTCAACAATTTAGGTGCCTGTATTGTCCTGGCCAGTTATTATAGATTGGAGAGGATTATATGTCTTTAATTTTTAAGACTTTGAGATTACTTATAAAATACAGATATTTTTGTTTACAATTAGTAAAATTTGTTTATAACATATGCTAACAAATTATTATTTGTAAATATGTGACAACTTCTAAATTGGTCTCTAATTCTCGTCAGACTTTCTGTATCTTAAACCTATCTTGTAATATTTTCCTAAAGTAGTATTCGTTTCATCTTCATTTTCAGATATATTGGCCTAAAATAATATAACATATAAGAACTCTAATTATAAAACTCTTAAAAGGATTATGTAAACTATTTACATATTTTAAGATTAGTGATAATTTTAGATTATTCCTGCTGTATTATTTTATGTTCTTATAATTTTTCTTTTTACACCTGAGTTTTATTTGTCTTCTTTCTACATAGTTAATTCTCTGGCAATTTGTGAGTCCCCATATATTTCTTTGAACTTCATATATATATATATATATATATATATATATATATATATATATATATATGAGGTGACTTGCTTTGGGGTCTTCAAGATATCTGGCAGTTTCCTACGGGGACTCACAGGACTCAGCATGTATCCCACTATGATTTATCACACAAAAAGGATACAGAGCAAAATCAGCAAAGGGAAAAGTTCCGTGGAATGTTGTCCAAAGGAAACCAGGAGCAAGCTTCCAAAATTCCTCTCCCAGTGAGGACACACAGGATGGACTTAATTCCTCCTACACTGATTTGTGACAACATGTGAAGTTTTGACAGTCCAAGAAGGTCATTAGAGACATAGTATCCAGGGTTTGTTTTTTATTGGCGGCTTCCCAACCATGAGCATGGGATGTTTTTTCATCTGTTTATATCCTCTCTTATTTCATTGAGCAGTGGTTTGTAGTTCTCCTTGAAGAGGTCCTTTACATCCTTTGCTAGTTGTATTCATAGGAATTTTATTCTGTTTGTAGCAATTGTGAATGGGAGTTTACTTTTGATTTGGCTCTCTGTTTGTCTGTTATTGGTGTAAAAAAAATGCTTGTGATTTCTGCACATTGATTTTGTATCCTGAGACTTTGCTGAAGTTGCTTATCTGTTTCAGGAGACTTTGGGCTGAGACAATGGGGTCTTCTAAATATACAATCATATCATCTGCAAATAGAGACAATTTGACTTCCTCTTTTACTAATTGAATACCCTTTATTTCTTTTTCTTGCCTGATTGCATTCTATTTTTGGCTTTCTAGAATTTCAGCAAGCTAGATCTAACTCAGAAATATTTGAGTTGTAACACAAGTAGGGAATATGTAACTTTGTAAATATAGGACATTCATTTACAGAAAGAATTACTGAAACTCAAACAGCTAAAATAAATTGTCCTCAATCTAGTAGAAATGAATCACTCATGATGTTCTAGTGATTTAATCTCCAGAGAAAGAAAACAAAAATAATTTTGGATAAATTGAGATTAAAAACTATGTTCTTATACTCAGGTTTAGAGATATTCCACAGTAAATCAATGAATCCACCAGTCAGTATTTTGTCAGAAAGGGAAAGGAGGTGAAGTAGAGAATAAACAAAAATAGAGGCAGGAAAGTAGAACTGAATGAATAGCACTGGGGGAATGTATTTACTTACTCTGCTACCCAAGAAGATGACACACTTGAGATATATTTCTGGACTGTAATTTTCATCTACTTCCTCATGATATAATTCAATCTCCATCCTGTCTGCAAGCTGGAAAAAAGTCACTCAACAGTTAGCTAGTGTTTTGCTGCCCACTCCCACCCCCTTAGAATCTGCCGGGCTCCCAGGTCTCTTGCAGTATGAAAACTATGAGGCAGGTGTCCCATCCTGGGATTGGTTTAGTCCACAAAATGTCAGGCTATTCAAAAAAAACCCTGATTTTATCCTGGAGGTTACTTTCTCTTCAGGAGTTATATGAGGAATAAAGAACACATTGTAATTATGATTTCCTTGTTACTTTTGCCAAATGATTCCATATCCAGAGAAATATATGTATGTAGGTTCAAGAGAACACCTGAAAGCATGTGATTTTTTTACAAGATTTTTCAAATGTTACCACTTAATCCATCACTTCAAATATTTTGAGATACATAAACAAGAAGTTAGACAAGATTCACTTTTGGTTCGAAGTTGTCATAAATTGTGACATCAATTAGAATATTATTTTTCCCCAAAAAATAGTTCCTTCATATGCACAAAGTGAATGAACCCAAATTTTCAAACTGACTTGAAATTACTGCTAGATAGAAAGGAAGGAAAAGTGATACAAAAAGGACAAAAGAAAATGACAAAAAAGCCAGAAGTAGGAAATAGGATACCCTATTTTTTTTCAACCTTACAAAGAGAATCTGATTTCATCTACTTTTATATATATCATTAGAAAGAAGTGAAATGTCAATTAATCAGAAAACTATATACCTCAGTATAATAGTTACTGAGTCTCCACCCAGATTGTTGGGTAATGAGTACACCCTTACCCTTCACAAAATATAGTTGCCTGGAAAAATATCCTGTAAGTCAGGATTTCAGCTTTCTTCAAAAAAGAGAAATAACTATTCAAATATCAAAACTTTATTTTTAAAAGTAGCCTTCATTACAAATTTAAAAGTCTGCAGAGGCTCCTTTTTACCCCATCCAAAGAGTTTATAAACATGTACAGTAGAACAAATTTATTTTTAAAAAATATTATTAAAACAGCAAAAGATAGCATCCATGGCATTACTCCAATTCTGAAAGGTAATACAATTCTCAGGTACTCAGAGTACCAAGGTTACAAAGATTGCCTCAACCACCAGAATGCAAAGCTTAATTCCTTTGCTTAGTTCAAGGAACAAAAATTACCTAGTCCAACAGGAGAAAAAACTGCTCCTGTAAGGAAGAAAAAGAAACAGGCAGTAGTACTGATTAGAAACTTTTACATA